TTCCGAAAGGACCCGCTGAGGACCGCCGAGATGTTCCTTTACTACCCTTCCGGGGCTCGAGAGCCTTCGCCGGCACCGCCCTCGGAATCAGCAACCGGGCAGGGAGTCAGGTGACGGGGAAAATGGCGGCGGGCTGGGTTGCTGTGAGCCGCACCGGTCAGGCGCTTCCGCTCCAGGAAACAGAGCTTGTAGAAAACTGTTGAATAGGACTAGGACCGACCGGAGGTGTCCTCACAGACTGGAAGCACTCCCTTTTAAAAGAAAAACAAACAAACAAACAAAACCGCAAGTAACTTTTTTGAAACCGAAAGGGAAGGGGAGTGTGCTAGGAGGGTGCTGATCACACTGCGCTACTGCCACCTAGAGGATAAATAAATTGAACGACGAACATTTCTAATGACAGAAACCATTTTCTGCCCGTTTTCCTCGCTAAGGTCTGAAGATCTGGAATGAGGCCGACAGAAAACAAAGGGAAAGCACTAGAAAAAATTCCGAAAGGACCCGCTGAGGACCGCCGAGATGTTCCTTTACTACCCTTCCGGGGCTCGAGAGCCTTCGCCGGCACCGCCCTCGGAATCAGCAACCGGGCAGGGAGTCAGGTGACGGGGAAAATGGCGGCGGGCTGGGTTGCTGTGAGCCGCACCGGTCAGGCGCTTCCGCTCCAGGAAACAGAGCTTGTAGAAAACTGTTGAATAGGACTAGGACCGACCGGAGGTGTCCTCACAGACTGGAAGCACTCCCTTTTAAAAGAAAAACAAACAAACAAAACCGCAAGTAACTTTTTTGAAACCGAAAGGGAAGGGGAGTGTGCTAGGAGGGTGCTGATCACACTGCGCTACTGCCACCTAGAGGATAAATAAATTGAACGACGAACATTTCTAATGACAGAAACGATTTTCTGCCCGTTTTCCTCACTAAGGTCTGAAGATCTGGAATGAGGCCGACAGAAAACAAAGGGAAAGCACTAGAAAAAATTCCGAAAGGACCCGCTGAGGACCGCCGAGATGTTCCTTTACTACCCTTCCGGGGCTCGAGAGCCTTCGCCCGCACCGCCCTCGGAATCAGCAACGGGGCAGGGAGTCAGGTGACGGGGAAAATGGCGGCGGGCTGGGTTGCTGTGAGCCGCTCTGGCCGGGCGCTTCCGCTCCAGGAAACAGAGCCTGTTGCAAACTGTTGAATAGGACTAGGACCGACCGGAGGTGTCCAGGTGCTGGTCCTAGGCGTCCCCACGGTACGGTGCTCCCAGCCCTCAGGAGGAGGATCCACAACCCTCTGGGCATTGCCTTCCTGTCCTCAGGACCCACAGTTCTGGTCTCCTCAGACCCTAAGCGGCATGCCTGACACCAAGGAGCCCCTGGGCCCTCTTGGAGGGGCGCCAGGGAAACCCCACCCCTCCGTGATGTATGTCCCTTTGGAGCCCGGCCCTTTGTGATCACCTCCAAGCCTCCCTCAAGTGCCCCAGATTTTACAATTTAGCGGGGTGGGAATCAGGCGAGTACTGTTGCTGAGACCCTCTGTTGCTCCTGAGGCCCTGCCGGGCCTGGGATGGAAACCTGGGCCCTAAGCCTGTCAGGCATGAGGTTTCTGACCCCCCAGCTGCATCTAACCTCTTCTGGTTTTGTTCTGGGGGGGTCACCACTCCCTGCACTGGTGGTACTGGGGGTGGTGCAGAGGGGTGTTGCTCCTGGGGAAACCATGCCATGCTGAAACTCAAGTGCAGGTCCAGCATGCAACCCAGGCACGCCAACCATTTCAGCTCTCTCCAGCCCTGCTTAACTTCCAGGCCCAAACCTTCCTAGTTTCGAGCCAGGCTCCTGTTACCCAGTTTAAAGACCATAAACTCTCCCCCTCAAAACCTCCTCTCTCCCTAGTCCAGGAAGCCCCAGTCTAGGACATAGTCCTGTGCCTCTGTCTCATCTCAGCACCTCAAATGTGGTGGCAGAGCACTCACCTGGTGTGCATCGAGGCACGGTGTGCTAGTGCTTGAGATCCACCCCAGCCCTGATAACAAACTATTCTAACCTTTGTGAGTTGTTTTCTTTGAAATCCCTTAGCAGAAGAGAGTTGCTTCTCCCTCTCATCCTCTTACAGGACTCTCCCTTTCCTTGCCAGCAGCCTCTTTGCCCGCAGAGATCTCCTCTGATAGTTCATGGAGAAGACAGAAGGAATCGGGTGGGAATTCTTAGAGCTTCCCAGTCCCAACCTACCTGTGTCAGGTGGACCCTGCAGACCCTCAGGCTGCTCTCAGCCCTCCCTGTCAGGATGCCATGCCTTCCCCACTCTCAGAGACTTGAATCCTCTCTGCCCAGCACCCTCCCCCCAACTATGTTGTGGGAACCCCCACAACAAACAGGAAACCCTGCCCCTCTTCACATGTCATTCAGCAGCCACTGGCACATTCCTTTTGTCCTTACATGTGAAAGGGGGGCATCTTCTTGGATAATTCCTACTCCAGTCTCTTCACTAGGACTTTTTGGTCCTGTCACTCCATTGCTCTTGTGGGGCCACCTCTCAAGGCTGTTGCCTCCCCCCCCCCCCCCCCCAACCTCTCTAGGCTCATCTGAGGCAACTTCTCGGGCTGCTTAGAAAAAGCAGCCCTTCAGTTTAGATTCTTACTATTCGAGTTCTCTTTCTGTCCAGGTGGGTTTTTGTGACAGTATGTTCTCTAGGTCTGACAAGGTCTGTGAGTTTGCCTAGAAGATGTGTTACCTTTTTTGAGAACTGTGCCTTGGCACCAGAGATCTTGAGAAGGCATGGAATGGAACAAGGTTCCATAAGCAAATTCAGGTACTGAGAGAAGAGGGGTGGCATGCCGTTTAGATTTGTGTTCAGGGTGATGTCTTCTTTTGCTTTCCTGGACTAGCTATGTGCCATGCATAGCAGAGAATGAGGAGACTCAATTGTCCTTATACGGAGGAGTCCTGGCTTTTTTTACTTTGGGTTTCCTCCTATAAGAAGGGTTCTGTTTCCACAACAGCGATGCAGATTTTCCTCGAAGAGGTTTTCATCTCTCACTAGAGCCTGAGCCACATTGCAGGCAGGGGCTTCTCAGTCCTGGGGAGGGTCTGTAGCACCTGCTTTCTTCCAGAAGCTCAGATCGGAGGGCTGGAGAGATAGTACAGAAAGTAAGGTACTTGTCTGGCCCGTGGCCCACCCAGGTTCAGTCCCCAGCACCCTATATGGTCTCTCCAGCCCTGAGCCAGGAGTGATCCCTGAGCCCCTGATCCCTGAGCACAGAGCGAGTTTTAAATCCTACGCACACTGCAGAATGTTGTCCCCAAACGAATGCCAGAAAGACAGACCAGAAGCTCGGTAGATGCTGAGAAGGACGAGATGCACATAAGCTTTAATCTTCTGGTCTGATATATAATCTTGGGGGACCGGAGAAATACTATAGCAGGTAGGGTTCTTGCCTTGCACTTGACTGACCTGGGTTAGGTCCCTGCATCCCATACGGTCCCTGAAGCCCACCAGGAGTGATCCTTGAGGGCAGAGTCAGGTATGAGTCCTGAGCACCACTGGGTGTGACCCCAAAACAACAACAACAGTTGCAACAACAAAGGAAGTACGACCTTGGGCTCTGGAGCCATGCTTGTTACTATTATAATTAAAACATCTTTTTCCCCTCACATGTAGGATGGCTAGTACTAATTAACTTGAATAGTTTAATTTGAGGGGCCAGGGAGAGAGTGCGTACAGAGGGTAGGGCATTTGCTTTGCATGCGGCCGACCATGTTTGATCCCCAGCATCCCATATGGTGCCCCTGAGCCCACCAGGAATGATCCCTGAGTACGCCAATGTGGGCCCCCAAATGAATATTTTAATTTGAGAGCTTAGGCCATAGCTGGTTATGCTCAGGGATTTTACAACTTTACATATATCTTTTCATATGCATTTTGTATAGTGTATATTGATACCGGAGGTTATAACAAAATACAGTGGTTAGGGTAATTGTCGCAGACCATTGGAACAAACAAAAATCTTCGTCAGCCCCCTTCTGACTTGGTCATTGTACCGCTCTGTGAAAAACAGCTGCAGGTCCTCAGGCTGTACTTATAAGCACAAGATTTCCTTGCTTAGGGGAAGGGCTGGCAGGCAGAGGGAAGAGAGAAGGCTCCCAGGAGGAAAGGCAGCTGGAGTTCTGTTGTCTTGGTTACTGCTCTGCTTCTCACCCCACAGGTGGCTGAGCCACACAGGGGAGTCTCAGAGGCTGGTTGGATGGGGTGGAGGGAGGAGGGGTTGGCAATCCTCAGCCCTCTTTGTGTGTCCCTGTGACAAGAGATCTGAAGCCTGGGGCTGAGACTCGGTACCAGGGAAACAGAAGGCAGCTCCTTAGGATCTGCAGAAGATGGAAAAACACAGAAGTGGAAATTCAGGGCAGGTGGATGATGAAAGCCCACCCACAGCCCACACACTGGAAGTGGTTGAGTCAACCTTATTGTTTCTATCTCTTGATCACACACCTACACACATATACACAAAGCTGAGACAAAAGTGACTGTTACTGATCACGCACTCATGCCCGCCTGCATTTCACACGTGTGTGCAAAGTGTGTGTGTGCGCGCGCGCGCGCACACACACACACACACACACGACCCAAAAGCTTACAGGGAAGAGGTGTGGTCTCACCAGTTCGTGTCTGTACAGATGCACAGAGTGACCTCATCTGTTGGGAGCAGGTAGTGCACTTTGAGGAGGCAGGGCAGGCAGAAGCCAGAATCTGTGTTCCTTATTGCTATAATACAAAACCTTGGGCGGTTGGGTGAGTGTGTTCCTTACTGTTATAACACCCATGGCACACCTCTTTCTGCTTGATTTTTCTGGACACCTGCAGTATAGTTTCTAAATATTGTTATAATTATGAATGATGTCTCACAAAATTCATGCAATACAAAGATACCAGAAACCCAGCAGGGCCCTTGAGTGTTTGAAGGAGAGCAGGAACAGGAGCATCAGATTGCAGGATACCTAGTTGTAGGCAACAGACTGAATGAAGAGACTCTTATCAAGTCTACAGAGTTGTTCAACCACTGCTACACCTCAGTTTCAGACAGTTTCCATCGACCCCCCCCCCCCCCCCCCCCAGCACGGGTACCCACCGGTCTTTGCCCACCAGCCTCTCTCTCCAGGCCCAAATGACCTCTAATCTAATTTCTGGCTCTGGATATCTGCCCTGCGTGGGCTTCTAAAAACACCCGACTCATGCAGTAAGCAGTCTTTCAAGTCTGTGTTCCTTCATTTAGCATAACACTTGGGAGTTTCAGAGATCTTACAGCAGATCGATCAATGGCAATGTCTATCATATAGGCAATGTACCTTGCATTTATTCTGTCACCAGATGACATTCTTTTAGGATATTTCCAGGGTTTGACAATTAGGAGAACTATGCTGCTCTAAACATCTGAGTATACCTCTTGGCGAGGACTGTTTTCATTTCTAGTAACTCTGTGTTTTCCTTTCTTTTTGTGAATGATGGTGCTACAGAAGTGACACAAATATCAGTATAGTGTTGCATAGAAGTGGTGGGAGCAGACCCACTTGCCTATTCTCGCTCTCCGGGGAAAGCAACTTCACGTGATGAGCAGTAGGCTTTGGGAAGATAGCCTTGATCCATAGAGGATGTTTGTTCCCTTCTGTCTATAGCTCAGCTAATCTCATCAAGATGAATGGACCTTAAAGCGATATACCTGATAACTTTTCAGTATCTGTATTGCAAACCATAGTGGAGAGAGAGAGAGAGAGAGAGAGAGAGAGAGAGAGAGAGAGAGAGAGAGAGAGAGAGAGAATGCCTGCCCTGTCATAGAGAGAGGGGGTGGGTGGGAAGGAAACTGGGGCCTTTGGTGGTGGGAAATGTACACTGGTAATGGGATGGGTGTTGGAAAATGTTATGACTGAAACCCAAACGTGATCAACTTTGTAACTGTGATTCAATTAAAAATAATAAATATAATTTTTAAAAAAGATGAATGGACCTTGACTTTGAAAAAGGCTCTTTTTGAGTATCAATGGGGTCATATGGTTTCTGTTTTACATTAATGGTTTCTTTTTCTTCATAAAGTTTGTGTTTCAAATCAGTATTGCAACTTGGGGATACACCTTGCATTACGATTATGTTGTATATGTGCTGCATTATGTCATCGCATATTGGTGAGTATATGCGATGCATATTGGTAAGTATACATTGTGTGTTTACTAAGCATTCTAATTATGGATTGATTGATCATCCTGAATGATGCTTTTATTTTATGTGTACATTTCCTGTGCTGCTGAATTGGTCTGCTATTATTTTGTTGCAGATTTGTGCATGGGGTTCAAGATAGATATTTGACACTAGTTTTCTGATCCTATCATATCTTGCATGGTAGCAGGGTGGTATTGTACACAGAGTATGAGTTAGGCAGTAGTTACTTGCCCCTATTCTATTAAGAGTCTGTGAAGGGTGGGTACCATTGTCCTCTGTCTGTTAGAATTCCATGGAGAAGCCTGCAGGGCCAGGTTTTCTTCTGTTGCAAGGATGCTCCCTTCATAAATCCATGACTCTAATTGTCTGGATTTGCCATGTGTGCATTACATTTTAATCTGATCGTCCCCATGATTTTAAGTCTCCTGGGGCCTTCGAGATAGGGTGAAAAGTGGTAGTCATCTCCAGAACTTGGGTGTGCTATCTCTGGGTCCTCTGAACTCTCAGAGTGCCACCTAACCCCTTCCAAACGCCCACGCAGAGGGGATGGGGACAGAACCTTTGAGGTGGATACGGGGAGCCCACTGACTCCCTCAGGGACACCCTCCCACTCCTTGTCCTTGCACCCTCCTGAAGATCCGGCCTCTCCAGTGAGGTCCTTTCTCGGTTACACCAACCCCCAGCCACAACTCCTCTTTCTCACAGCTCTCACCTCTTGCAGCCGCACAGAGCAACACAGCGTGTCCATGTCATGTTTCTCTACCACACTGAAATGTGTGGGCTCATTTCGCAGATCAAAGGCTCAGTTCAGGACACAGATATGCCTGTGTCTTTTGTCCTCAGATACCTGCGCCAACAGCCAAGCGGGAGGGGCAGAGCGCCCCCTGGTGCACTGTGAAGAGAAACAACATGCACCTCGGGGATTGATTCCATCTGTTCCATGTCACTGAAATACCACGTCTCACGTTTGACCCAGACTCGTGGAGGTGACAGGACGGTGACATGGTCGGGATTCAGGTTCTGTAGCCAGCCTGCGATGTGCTGTTTCTCCTCATCTCTTTGCTGTGGCACTCTGGGAAAACGTCCAACTTCCCTGTTCTTAGCTTTACAACCTCACACGGTGAGATTACATGCTTTCAAATAACTGGGAAGCCTCAGTTGAGGATGAAATTGTCTGATGAAATCCCGTGATTAGAATGAAACTGCACAAGGAGATCTGTTCTCAAGCCACTTCTGTCGTCAGAAGTAGACTTTTGCAGCAACAGAGCCCCGGGACAACCTACCAATGCAGAATGGCAGAGAGCAGAGTTTTCCTTCATGCCACAGTGGTGTCTATCTAGAAACATGTGATGTGATGCTGTGGTGGCACAGAGTAGTAGGCTTAATCATTGCTGCCTCCTGTGATGGAAAAGTCCATGTCTGAAATCTAAAATAACAGTGGGAAAATAAAAATAAAATAAAATAACAGTGGTGTCACCCAGTATTGTTCCAATCCCATGAGGTAGGCACGCAACTGCTGTTCCTGGCCACCAACTGGGCCAGCAGACACTGAGGTGGGCCTCTGCAGAGCTTGAAGGGGTGGGCATCAGCCTGCAGGATCCCCTTCTGTAGGCAACAGACTTTGCTTCCAAGTCTGTGGACAGGATCTCTGTCTCCCACTTGCTCAGGGGCTCATCAGAAGGCTGGTCCTGCCTCAGAGCCACAAACAGTAACTAGGTGCTTTATGTGAGCCTGCCCTTCTGCTCTGTTCTGTTCAAGTCTGCACTGAATTCCTCTCCATGAAGTTGCACCTGCTGGCCTGGACTCAAGTGCAGTGATCCGAGAAGCAACAGGAACATAACAACAGAGGCAAAGAAACCCGATTCTAAAGTTCATTTCTTTTTGTTCACCTATTTATTTGGTATCAGTGCTGAGGAACCCAGCGGAAGCTCCTTCAAGTGGGAGTTCTAGTGAATCGAGCAAACATAGTGCATTTGTTTCAGAATAACTTACACACATAACTCATGGCACACTCGCAAGTTCACACTTCACCTGACTTTTCCAGGCTGTTCAGGGCAATCTTGAAACCACTGTCCAAGCAGCTTGTGGCATTGCTTAAGACAGAATGGTGCTTGCTGGGGGCAGTTCCTATAATGGCTCAGTTCAGGGACACCGAAGAGCCATCCACACGGGGGAACCGTTTTCTATCTTGTTGATAACAAAGGAGGGAGGGAGAGCCGAGTCCAGGGTGGCAAAGTGATAACATGCATCACGACAGCTACACTACCAGGGTTCTGGACCACCGGCACAGACTCCCTGCCCCAGGATGGGCCCAACTGATCCAGAAATTCAACAGGGAGGTCGAGGACCTCTCCGGGCATAAGGCCGGTCTCACGCTGATGGGATGTCCAGTCATGGCTCTGGTTCTGATCCTCCTCTGATTACTGATTACTGCTGGAACATGAGAAGCACACACAGGGATTATACAGCAGCAGATTCCAAAGCTGACTTTGTTCAGGACTCTGTCACATGGGAACATGCACCTCAGTCTTTTCGTGTTTTTTTTTTCCTTTACCACTTTTGGGTTTGGGGATACATACTGCAGTGCTCAGAGACAACTGCTGACTCTATGCTCAGAGGTCACTCCTGGCGGTGCTTGGGGGTGGAGGGAATGGGGCAGGGGTCAGCCCTCTAGAAGGCAAGCACCTTCACACCTATAGTTTGTCTGTGGCCAACCTAGTTTTCTTTTAACCACTGCTTCAGGAGCCTCTGAAACATCTCCTTACTTTCCTGCTTCATCTCTACCTGTAGCTTCTCCTCTTCGTCCTGCTGTTGGCGTGCCCCTTCCTCCACGAGGCTGGTCCCGCTAGTGCCCAGGCTGAGGGTCAGGCCACTGAGGCCCTGAACCAGTGTGTCCCAGGAAGAAGCGGGTGGGGCCCGGCTCCTCTCAGCAGGCAGCACCGAAGCATTGGGCTTATGGCTCTGGCAGTATCGACATTCACATCTGAAGGTATTCTGGTCTCTATGGCTAGAGGAAAAGACCCTGGCTTCCCTTTTAACGTGGTAAGGTGCCACAAGGTCCATGTTCCTCTGTCTCGGGTGTCCCAAGAATGTCATCTTTGTCATCTTCCTTCGAGGGGACACTGGCCTTTCCCACCACCTCTCTTGCAGGGTTTTCTCATCTTGGTACCGCTGCTGGAGCAGCCTCTCTGGTAGAGCGGCAGGTGAGTTTGCATCAGGACTGAGGTTCAGGTCGCTGAGACCCATCATTAGCATTTCTGAGAAGGAGACTTGAGGGGTCGGCGGGACTTCCTGAGAAGTCTCTTCGCAGGTCATGGTGGAAGGTTCAGAAACCAGTGCTGAGTTATGCTTCTGGGGTGTGTCCATGGCGGTCCACTATGTGTCTGAAGCTCCTGTTGGCCTCAGGGTCTAGATGTCTAGGGTGAAGGTGAAGGTTTTCAAAGAGCTAGAAGGCTTCACGGACTGTGTTTGGCCGGAAAAGCCTAAACTGCAACAGAGAGTGGGAAGAGATGAAAGGAAATCCATTATTACTCGTCGGACTTACCCGTTATGCCCATTTCCTATCTGGCACATGGAAATAGTAATGCCACCTCCTTCTCAGGGTTGCTTAGCGAGATACCAGATGAGGTCTATGGACTGTCTGCATCCCTTTGACATGCAATACAAAGTTTGAAGGACTCCTTCCCTATGACTTGGTCACTCCACTCCTGAGCAGGTATGCAAGGAATTGAGGTGAGAATCTCCAAGAGATCTGCACTCCAGGTCACTGCAATATTTCCACAGTAACCACCATCCCAGGGCATAGCTCAGTGCTAGAACATGTGACTGACTGCAGAGTTACCAAGGCCATGAAACAGCTCAATTGTCTCCCGACAGACAATTGGATCAAGAAAATGTCTGTACACCATGGGGCAGTTTGCAGCCTACAAAACAGAAGTAATTCCAACTCTTCGTGATAACCTGGGTCAGTCTGGAGGCATGATGCAAAGTGAAAAATGTCAGACACAGAAGAGCAATTGCTGCAAGATTTCTGACACAGTAAGAGTTACAGATAAATAGAATGGTGGTTCAGTATCCCTAGGCCAGGGGTAAGGAAAGGGGAGCACAAGGAGTTTTTTGATGTTTACAAAGTACACGTGTAGGGCTAGAGAATTAGTAGAGTGGGAAAGGCGCTTACCTTGCATGAAGCTGCCAGGTGCAATCCCTGGTACCACATGTGTTCCCCCGAGCATTACCAGGAGTGATCTCGCATCGCAGAGACAGGAATAAGCCCGACATATATCTGGGTGTGCAGGAATAAGCCCTGAACACTTCACAGTATGTACTCCCTCCAGCCCTCAAATAAGTACAGGTGAGTGGGGAGAAAGCTGTTCAGAGCTGTAAAAGAGAGTGACTGACTGTAGCTAATGATACAACATTGTGCACTTAAAACTTCGGTGGGAATGGGATCAGGCATATGGCTCAGTGGCAGGACACATCCCTCATATTAAGATACCAGGTCTTCAACCTGTGAATCCACTAATAAATTGCTAGGAAGGCTAATTTCTTATCATATATTTGTGGAAAATACACACATACACACACACACATAGGAAAAAGCTATAGAAGGAATCTTTTTAATGGTCATTCACCAAAAAGGAAGGAAGGAAGGAAGGAAGGAAGGAAGGAAGGAAGGAAGGAAGGAAGGAAGGGAAGGAGGAAGGGAAGGAGGGAGGCAGGAAGGGAAGGAGGGAGGGAGGGAGGAAGGGAAGGAGGGAGGGAGGGAGAAAGGGAAGGAAGTAGGGAAGGAGGGAGGGGGGAAGGAGGAAAGAACGAAAGAAAGAAAGAACAAAAGAAAGAAAAAGGAAAAAACCCAAATCTTTTGGAGGTGAGAGATATGTTCATTTCCTTGAGTGTGATAATGGTATGACAAATGTATTCTTATGTACGAATATGTCCAGTACTTTTAAGGATATGTTATGGCTTTTGTGTTTCAATAAGACATCCACAGCTCTAAGATACTTACAATTAATTAAGAATAGATAGTACAAAAAGAATGATGGGAAAGGGCAGGATCATAGCAGCAGATACAGGGAAGATTTTTTGGCCAAACTGAAAACCCACCGATGATAAAATAACTCTCACAAATCAGAAAGAGGAACTTCGGACTGCGAGGAAGGGCACATTCAGGGTCTGGGGAGATGGCACAGTGGGATGGTGGATACACCAGGCGCTGATTCTGTCCCTGGAACTGCACTTCCTGCCACCAGCATCACCAGGTATGGCCCTCGTGTCCCCCCAAGCACCTCCAGGTGTGGTGCGGGAGGTTCCGATCTCACAGAGTCTGAGCAGCACTGCATCTTCAGGATCTCACGTTTAGCTGTCCAGCCTGGTTGGCCGAGGCTCACCAGGAGGGACTCCTGAGCTTTCTCAGAAGGCACCAGAACCTATAAAATAACCTCCTCCTGATCCTCCCAGGAGGGGAGGTGCATGTCGAAAGTAGACTATGGACTGAACATGTTTGCCACTCAATGCCTCTTTTGCAGACCACAACACCGAAAAGGAGAGAGAGAACACAGGGGATTGCCCTGCCACAGAGACAGGGGGGATGGGGGGATGGGGGTGGGAGGGATATTATCCATGGTGGTGGAAAATGGGCACTGGTGGAGGGTTGGGTATCTGATCATTGTATAATTGAAACCAAAGCACAAAAAATTGTAAATCTACAACTTTAAAAAAAATAAAATAAAATAAAGGGAAAAAAAATAACCTCCTCCTTACTGGTGAAAGATGGAATGCTTTCTCAGACTGCAAACAAGGCAAAGATGATCATTATCCCCTCTGTGCTTTACCACCCAGGGCAAAGTCCAGAGCCAGCATTCAGAAAAACCTTAGCCTCCACGCAGAGAGGAAGAAATAAAATGGTCCGTTCAAATATCTCATGCTCATCTACCAAGTAAAACCCAATGTCTTGCATGGGAATCTCATAGCGCTAGTAAGTAAGTAGGCACTATGCAGGACCAATGAAACCCTTGCACAGGCATGCTGTACTGTTTGCGTTTGATCAAAACTGGAAATGAACTGAAGAGATGCATCCAATATCTCAATGCCTGTATTTGTGACCCCAGCTGGGAGACCCAGAGTGGAAACCAGCTTTCTGGTGAGAGGTCCTTCAGAATGACGAAAAGCTGGGGAGTCTGTTTGGTGAAGCTGAAAGTGACTCTAGTGTCCCCTCTTAAACGCCCACTAGGACTCCGCTCAGGTGGCACCTCCTCCCCAGAAATCATCTCTGACTTCTTCATGGCAACCCAGACAGGGGGCAAAACAGCTACTCCATACCACACCCAAAATTTCTCATCCCAGCTCCTGCTCCACTGGGCTGTCATGTCAGAGGTGGCTGTTGTCTGTCTCCCTCACTAGCCAGGAACTGATATGTCAGGGACAGTGGGCATTTCCGGATCTCTAGGCAATGGAATAAGGAGCACGTGTGGCCACTACAAGCCCTTCTGAGCCCTGTACAATGCACAGGACTACGAGTCCTGGTTCCAACCTCACGAATCACCAGGGCAAGAAAAGACTTTGGTCTTGTCCCCGGAACACAGGATCCTATATTTGTGGTGCCAGAGCTCTCCATCCTACTAGATCTGCAATGAAGGGAGATTCTCTGCAGCAGCCTTACACACGAACGGTAAGTTTCTCACATCTGACAGGTGCCCCTCTAAGACTGTGAGAGAGAAGAACACAGAGGTGGTTGAAACATGGGGCTGTTTTTGAAGATTATCTCTGAGGGTGGCCAAGGGTACCTCTGCAAAGGAAGTGATGGCAACGCTGGGTGTGCAAGGTTTGAGGAGGCTCAAGTGGTTCAAGGTGCAAGAGGAAGAGAAGGACAGTGTCCTGAGAATGACAGAACTCACAGAGACTCACCAAATCAGAAGGTGAACTGTCTTTTTGGACTGTTCTTTTTGGACTCTGGAGCCACTTCTACACCTGTCCCCTAGAAGATAAAAGAGTCTGGTTGCTGGATACAGACAAGAAGAATTTACCAATCGGTTTGCAGTGAAGAAGGAACACTCATTTTCTGCTGGTGGGAATGCCCTTTGGCTCAACCTCTATGGAAAAAAGTATGCAGACTTATCAAATAACTAAAAATAGAGTTTCTGCATAACCCAGTGATTTAACTCTTTATCATCTTACCCAAGAGCACAAATATTAAATGTGAGAAGCTAAACGCATACCCAGGTTCATTTGGGGGTTGAATATAACAGCCAGGATATGGAAACAACCAAAGTGTGCAACTGCAGATGAATGAATAAACTGTGGCAAAGTTGGGGGTGTGGAGGGTAGTTAGGACAGAGAACAGAGAATGAAGACTGGAAATGATCATTCTGGACAAGAGCTGAGTGCTGAAAAGAGGTAAAGGCATATATATATATATATATATATATATATATATATATACACATATATATGTACACACATATACATATATATGGTAGCCTGTCAATACATGTATTGCAAACCACAAAGCTCAAAATGAAAGAGAGGCAGGCAGGGGGAGGGGGAGTAATGTAGTTCAGTGGTAGGATACATGCTTCACATGCCTCACATGTATGGGGCCCTGAACTTGATCGCCAGCATCAAGAAAAAAATAAAAGGGGGGGGAGGAGGAGGGAGGAAAAGAAGGAGGTAGGAGGATGATGAGGAGGAGGAGGTAGAAGAAAGAGAAGGAAGAAGTAGAAGGAGGGGAGGAGGAGGAGGAAGAGGAAGGAGAAGGAAAAGAAGGAGAAGGGGAAGGAAAAGGACTGAAGGAGCAGGAGAAGGAGATTGAGAAGACTGACGATGACACCAAAGAGAGCACAGGTATTAAGATATTTGCATTGCATGCAACACACCTCATTTTGATCGCTTGTAAGGCATATGGTTCCCTGAATTCCACCAGGAGTGATCCCTGAACACAGAGCCAGGATTAAACCACGTATGTGAGACCCCTTCCCCCCTCCTCCCAAAGAAGCTGTGGTACATAAATGGAATGCAATACTATGAATGTAAAGATGACACCTCACCTCTTGCTGTAATTTGGTTAGAATTAGAAGGTGTTCTGTGAAGTGAAACAATCAGATGAAGGGCAACATAAAAGCAAACATTACTGAGCTGGAGATATAGTACAGCATGTAAGTGCTTGCCTTGCACGCAATCACCCAGGGTTCTATCGTGGCCACTAAATGTGGTCCCATGATTCTGGCAGGAGTGATCCCTGAGTGTTGCACCAGGAGTACACCCTGACTGAGTACAGCTGGGTGTGGCCCACAACAACAAACACAAAAAGGTGAACATTATTATAGCCATGTTACCTCAACTACACTTAAACACAGAGGAAATTTAAAAAAAAGAAAAAGAAAGAAATCACCAAGGACCCACATTTGCTTATGGTTCCTTTAAGGGAATTACGGGATGCAGCTCCAACAACTTCAGATGCACACTTGGTGAAGTTCAGGATTATCCAAGAAA